ACCAAAATAAGTAGTAAAATTGCAATTTAGCACAAATGGGTGAGAGCTGAAAAATGAGATTCTATGGTAAGTATTGTCTTAATTTAGACGCTTTAAATCAATCGTGATTTAAAGGAGTCAACAGTTTCTGCACATATAAGATTTCTGTAAAGTTGAGAAACTAAAAGATGACTCATATTGTTTGGTTCTGGTCCTGGAAGCACTGAACAGAAACGTCTGATGACCTGAGCTGCAGTGCTAGTCGGATTGTTTTAGTCTACAATGGGCTGCAGCTAATGCTTATTTTACTTATCAGTTAATCTGTGAAGTGTTCTGACAATCGATCAGTTTACATAAAAAAATCTGTGGACTGTGCCAATTAATTTGTCTTATTTTTTATACAATTTTAGAAATGCATTAAAAGGTGCAAATAAACATAGAATCCCAATACTTTTTGAATAAACATTTAATGGCCTAAAATGCAATTACAAATTACTCCGTTATGGACTCTTGATCCTTATGTGTGCATTTGCAGCTCATGCTATGATATTCTCTCATAAAAACATACACAGAGCATCTCCCCTGCTTCTCTCCCTCTCACCTCCTTCAGACTAGCCAGCAGCCATTAGCAAACACCCTGGTGGAACTGCACATCTGCTGAGCTCATCATGCAGACTACCTCTCAGAGCAATGCTGGTAAAAAGCATTGCAAAAAGGTTAGTTGAGGAGCAACATTGTGATGAGCAGGAGTTTTTAAAAAGACAATTTCAAAGGTAAAATACTAAGTAAAATTTCTTTTAAGTAATATTTGATATATGTAGTATGTCTATAATAACTAAAGTTGATATAATTACTTGGTTGTGCTATAGAATGGAAAATAGATAATGTTACTGCTTTAAAGACGGATAGGTTCCATGCGCTGGTATGGGGAGGCAGCATCTGATTTTTACTTCGTATTTGAAGACAACATTATAACGACCAAGAAGAACAACGCATCAGTTTTTACGAGTGTAAATTTTGGTGAATTCTTTTTTAATGTTGCCTGTTTATTTGAGACATCAGTAGGTTGGTTTAATCATATTTCTAGTAACAGTTGTCTTTTGCAATGAATTCTCATTTCTCAAAGCATAAATTGCAGCCCTTTTTGAAAATTAGAATCGTGAAATCACAAGACTGATTCACTTCATATGGGACAAAAATGAATGAATGCAGAGACGTAAAATGACTTAGCGGTGTCCTTAGAAAAAGTGATGTCTCGTGTAAAACAAGCAAGAAACACAGGCAGGCTAAGTTCACCTTCACAGCAGCAGACTTTGAGAAAACACAACTTTCCTGAGACATTTGTCCCTCGTGGGCCCCCTTAAGTCATTGATAACTGCGGTAGTGGCAAAGACTTGTGGCTGAGGCTGAGACAACAAGTGTCACCGAGACGTGGAGCTCGGAGAGGAGTGTGACTCAAGCTGTCTGGTGGAATATGTTAATAGGACCGCGGCCTGGAGTGTGACTGGATGTGTGGCTGTGACAGTGCCAATTAGCACAAAGGCTGGAGATGTCTGTATGTTCTGTAGAGCTCCTACAGGACCCATCATTTCTCCTGTATCAACAAGAGTCACTATTTTGGGTTTTCGCCATGATATCTTGTTTTTAGACAAACAGATTTTTTATGTTCTGACAAATCCTCTCTGCAGGAAAAAGCGAAATCTCACTTATACTCTCTGGCCTCACACCAGCACAGTGAATGCTTGGGAGAACTCCACTTTAACTGCAAGTCTGATGCCGTGTTAATTATTTGGAAGATGACTTTATTGTTTGAATGCTCAAGTTTCCGTTCACTTCCTCACTCGAAAACGTGACTTTATTTTTATTTTTTTTCAGAGACATGACGGACTGAAGAGCTGTCAGTGGTACTGACGGGCCCGACGCTTTCATATGAATAACCAAGCAGTAGCTGCAGATGCTTCATGCATATGAACTTTCATTTCAAATCCAACAAAGAAGAATGTGAAGACACAAAGGGATCAGAGGAGGACATGATTCAGTGTGATGCTCACTGGGCCACAGTGGGCAGGATTCCTCCACAGCTGACCAAATCAGTCTTTATGTGCTTTATGCAGTCAGAATATCACATTTGAGTAATGATTATTTTTTTCTCTAGGAAATGAAAAATTAACACAAAGGAAATAATAATTTTCAAAAAGCATTTCATTTCTAAAAGTACGGAGCCAAAGGGTTTGTAGAGAATCTATTAAACAGATTAAAATCCTTTAGAGATGCGATTGCTCGAGCCAAATAGAAACACAGATGTTTTATTAATGACAAAATAGCAAATTCTAATTAAAATAAGCTCATACACACAGTTTAATTGTTACCCGTCAAGTGAACAATGCAGAGGGTGGAAAAGGCTTTTATGCGGTCCTAGATAATTGCTAATTAGAGGGAATGTAACTTTATTGCGGTCAGCATGAGCATTCATTTTGTCAGGGTGTAATGTGCAGAAGAACACATTCATTTCTTGAACTCACAGGTGAATCGAAGGTACGCACTTGAATGCATTTGAAAATTTGGTTTAATTCCAACGTCTCATATTAACGTTGCTGTTATTGCTGATAGTGATGTTATTAATATTTTCTCACCATTTTGGCATTGTGAGAAAATTACCAATATTTATTTATTTGTACATCAAACAACAACAAATTATAAGAACAAAGATTGCCAAATAAATAGAATAGACATGAGAAGAAAAAAAACGTTTTTGAGGAAACCCAGCCGATTTGAGGAGAGTATCTTTTCTGTCTAAAAGATATCTCATGTGCCGTTTCCTGATTGATTAGATTTCATGTTTGGTCAGCAGTGTCAATATTCTAATTCTGTTTTCAGCCAGTTCTCTGTCTCTATTAATAATGCCTTCCAGCAAAAATTGCAAGGTGGCATTTTCTCTGATTCTTTTTGTAAAGAAAGGTCAAGAAGACGGTAAAAAATGATCTTTTGTTATAACACATGGTGACAATTTGGGCTCATGGCATTTCCAGTTGTCTTAATCGCTGGCAACCAAAGGAATTTACTGGTTCAGTTTTATAAACACTTATTTGTTGGCCTCTGGCCATCCAATCTGATCACTTAGCAAATGTAAAACCAGCCTCCTAAACTCTCCAATAATTCAAAGACAAATTTATTTCCTTTTTAATTTCAAGCGGATAGCTTGTATCTTTAAGGATATTTGACATTTAAACAGTAGCAAGCAACAAGCAGGAGCTCCAACTTAAAGAGCTCCAGAAAACTGCTGAGAAACAAAGTTGTCCTCATGCAAATGTAAGTTTTACTGTTACAACATGATGATGTTTGTAAAATGTCAACATTAGAAAAATCCAATCCCAACAAATAGAAAAAAAGCTCTTCCAGTAGGATGTCCAAAAATAAGAGGGATGATTACTTCTTTTCTTTACGTAAGTTAGTTTGGAAAGCTTTCATCTGTGGAAAAGTGATAAATAAGGGAGAATAGCTCAGAATAGACACATTTCATGGCACTAAAATAACAGCTTTGTCATAAGGAAAAATCAAGATTTTCTTTTTCCCAACTGTGATGAATCGATTATTGATATAAGCTCATCATATTAAGCATGTTTTGCGATCAGATTATTAATTGGTTATCAGAAAAGTAATCACCAGATCAGTCCTACACTGTGTTGAAGGCCTGGGCTTTTCACATGTTGATGTTGGACAGATTATGTAACTGTAGGTTCGTCCTTTGCTATAAATGATTAAGGATTAGAATGCTATCATAGCATTTTAGGCAAAATAAAAATGTTTCTTTTCTGTTTTTATTTGGTAATTTGAATTTATTTATTATATTTCTAATGTATAAAATTGTTTGTGGTGAAAAAAAATCTTCAGAATGCGGCAGTATTTGATTAAACATTAAATTGTCAGAATAATAGACTTCTGAAATAATTGTTGTTTTTAGGTACTATTAGAAACAATTTCAACAAGTTGTGCATGGCTTTTGTGAACTCCTCTTAACTTTGTGATTTGTAATGTCACTGTGAGCCAGAGGGGGAAAACCTTCCTGTAAAACAAACAAAGAAAAAAAAAGTTTCAGGAGTGCTGATCTTAAACTTTGAAAACTGCACAGGTTGCAATAAGCAGAAGTTTAAATAAGCACAGAAGCACACAGCAGAGCTGCGCCTGTGAGGAGCTGACCGCGCTGCGCGCCTTGTATCCACAAATAGTCTCAGATTTATTAGTTCGACGCGACACCGAGTTGGCTCCGGTATTGAACTCGGTGACAAAGAAGCAATATGAGAAGGAAATACATACAAGAAAATAATGGATCTGGAATATTAAATTCAAGACTCCCTCACACACCCGGTGAAGACCAAACGCCGCCAAACATCAGCGGCTTGGAAACGCGTCCAAACCGGATTTGCCAAACCTCCGGTTTCCTGAATCCGTGAGCACGTTTATTCCCTTCGCCTTCAGAAGGCGTTTCGAGATGATTGATTTTTACATTATTTTAATCCAGAGGGCTGACGGGTTATTGGAAAGAGGAGTGATGGATCTAGATGCGCAAGACTGGGCATTGATCACCGGGAGAGGGGAGGTCGGCTCGTTTTCTCCAGGATCTTTCTGAGACGCCAATAAAAAACGCGCGTCAGCCGCGCACGCGCACGCGTCCCTGCACATGAAAGATTTTTTTTCTTGAAAGTTTCCCCCCTGCGCATCTCGTTCTAACTGATTAACCGATCGTACGTAACGCAAACGGTTCCGTGCCAGATCGTCAGGATGTGAGAAGAAATAAGTGGGATGTTGCGACTTATGAAACTGTTATCTATTTAGAAGGTGAGCGTGGAGCTGATTATTCGCAGATTTTTCCTTCTGTCTGCATGAGACAGATGGGTCGCAAAGGAAGCGAACGGAGGTAAGCGCGCACTCGTGTTGTAAGAAGCGGCTTTTTTTCTGGCACGCGCACACAGACAACGCTGCTGGTGAGGCAGCAGACTGAGGAGAGCAGGAGAGAAGGACGCACAACTCAAACGCGCATCTCTCACTTCCAGCTGGAGCATGCTGCCAGGAGATACAAGCGCTCCAGTCTAGTCAAAGTTTTTTGGATCACAGCGGACGGCGGGAGCCTCACATCCCCCCAAGGGATCTGGGAAGCAAGCATGGACGTCGGAGAGGCAACAGCGCTTTGAGCGGAGCCAAAGAGACATCCAGTCATGATTTGGGTCACGTTTTTACCCTTCTTGATGCCTTGCGTGACCGCGAACAGGACATCGGACCCTGTGCCGTTTTTTCACGGGCATGTGTTCGAGAACTCGTCTCCCGGCTCGCGGGTCAACGGGCTCAGCGTCCCACTGAAGCGACTCAACTCGCGCCGGCTGTGCGGCACCGCGCTGCCCGGCGCGGCGGCAGCGCACTATAAACTTCTGGGAGATGGGAGCGAGGACTTCCGCGTCTTTGCACACCACAAACGAGGGCATGTTCTGCTGAAGACGACCCAGACTCTGGACCGAGAGGAGCGGGCTGAGTACGCCCTGAGTCTGGGTCTGTGCTGCGGACAGTGCGCGGAAGGGGAGGACGCGTCCGAACTCGTGGCGTCCATCAAGGTGGACGTTCTGGACACCAACGACCACCAGCCCGTTTTCCCCAGCGCCAACATGAAGCTGGATTTGGACGATGCCACTGCTCTGCGCGCGGCGATCTGCTCACTGAGCGCGCGGGACGGCGACAGCGGCAAGAACGCGGAGCTCATCTACTTCGCCGAGCCCAAAAACGGAAGTTTCTACGCGGTGCCCAAAACAGGGGATATCCTGCTGGTGGACTCCATCCTCGGTCTGGAGAAGCCCATCAAGTTTCAAGTGTTTGCGCGGGACCGCGGCTGGCCACCCCGCACGAGTCAAGGTGTTTCCGTGGAAATAAACCCGCGACAATGGCCCGCCGCGCGCTCCGCGACCCCCGGACCACGGCAGCAAGTTGAAGCGCAAGCGCGGAGGTCCCGATCGGTCACGGAGGAGGAAACACCGGTTCTTATCAGCGTGTCCGAGGACGCGGGGATCGGTTCTGTCGTGGTGAATCTGAACCCGGTGAGGTTCCAGTCGGCCGCCTTCGAGCTGGTGGAGCCGGAGCTGGAGAGCTCCCCGGTCAGCGTGAGCCGGGACGGCGGCGATGTGGTCATCATGCGGAGGCTGGACCGGGAGACCGAACCTCTGGTGGAGATCACCGTCAGGGTGCAGGACAAGAGAGGTGAGCAGAGGCGCTCACACACGTGTGTGCGAGAGAGAGAGAGAGAGAGAGAGAGAGAGAGAGAGAGAGAGAGAGAGAGAGAGAGAGAGGCAGCGGAGCGTGGCGGTTTGCAGTGCGCTTGTCTGGAGTAGAAAATGTGTGCAATAAAAAGGATTTACAAATAAACTCTGTAAATAGAAGTTTATACATGCAAAGTGCCTGTTTTTTTTACTTTCTTTTTTCCCCCTTTTTTACCAAAGCGCGCAAATATGCGCAGCTAGAACTGTGTTGATATGGGCAGTCAAAAAATTGTCTTAAGTATTATCATTAATATGCTATTAATAATGTATTAATAAATGTATAGCTGATTAACTGCGTGACAGTGACTTGAATTACAATCATTGTCAAACAAAAGACAATACACAGAATTTGAAACATTATTATTACTGAAAATTCTTGTCATCTCAGTCAGACATTGTGGAGGTTCTGTTGTCTTGAAGCTCGGCTGGCCCAAGTTACAAGCGAGTTCTGGGAATCCACATGCGATATGTTCACAGATACATCACCTACACACATTAAAGAAAAGTTTTATTGTTTTCAAGTCATTCTAAATGTCAGTCCACAGAGCTATTTTCTGAATATTTCTTACCTGTGTCTAAATACTTGATGTTCCCATCAGCACTGCATCAAGTCAGTGTGGAGTATTTCTTCTTGTTATGTAACTGTGGTGACGGTGGGAAAGTATTGAATTCCTCTCTGGCTCAGTTTAAATAGGTAACAAGAGATAGAGTTTATAAAACCTGGGTTTTATTTTGGTCGTCCACTTCCGATTATCGGCTAGGAAATTTGCATATTACCTAAATAAATGGCTCTGAGCTAAATGTGTAGCATCAATACAATATTAGGATTGATAAGAAAATATTCAGTTTCACAGAAACAGCTTCAGCTTTAGCGTGCTATCTCAATATATGGTTGCAGCTAAGTCTCTAGCTTGAAACTCACATTTATAAATGCATGAAAAACATACAAATCAAAGTGAAAATTTGAGCAAATACTTTCCCCTGTTTTAACATCAATCTCTGAATATAATGTAAAAAAAATCCCTGTAGAATTTTTTATAGCAGCCTTACTGTAATTCTGTTACTGTTTTACTCTGATTTTATTGCAAGTTTACTTACAGTTTTTCTGCAATTTTACCCAGGCAGCACAGATCGGTGTGATTTGTGCATGTGAGACTGTAAACTAGATGTGCACAACGTTGGCTAAAAACCCAACACAAGGAAGTTGAAACTGTTCAATTCTTGTTGCTTTCTGCTGTCGTGTAAAAAGTATTTTGCTGTTCGTAGCTCCCCATGTGTAACACATTGCTGTGAACTAGATAACCCTCGGCGGGAGACAGGCTCTGATGTCAAAATAGATGAATATGTAATATTAATGCATTAAAATGTTCATGTTAATCACGTGAGCTAACGCCTTACTGTTGACTCCTATGTGCGAGAGAAAAAAAAAAACATTTGAGGCATCCTACACTCAAACAACTTCTACAAAAAGACCAGAATATAGTCATCTGCATATTCTGGGTGAACTGAACTGAAAAGCACTTGTGTTGCACATAAGGCTAGCTGAAAGATAACAAAAGTTAGCTTTAGCAAACAAGCAATAATAGCTCAGTATAACCACATAAAATATATTTCCGTGCACAAACACAAAACTGCAAAACAATGTTTTTTTAAAAAAGTACTTACCCAGTACTCATTGTTGACCCGCCCTTTGGCCTGTGAACGTTCACCTCCAGCCGGTAAAAATCCCACAATACATTAAAAATTTACAGTACAGCTGTAAATGTCCGCACATGATCTAGTGGTTCATTCACGTCCCATACACTTTCCATGCACATTTCAGATCACAGTAAAAAGCTGTATTTTCAAAACCCGGTCACCTTACTGTGTTTTCATGCTGTAGTTTTTGCAGCCATTTGTTACAGTGTATATGAAACATGTGGAAGTGAATGTTTTAGTCAGTGATGCTGTGGTGAATGGTGGGATGAACTGGGGGAACCCAAATAAAATTCTCCTTCGGATCCCATATAACCTGAGGGTTTGGTGTTTGTTGCATTTCTAAATATGACTAATGAGGAAACTCATCAGTGGACAGTCAACAACCTGAGGTCTGACTCATGGAGATTTAAAAATGTGTGTAAGGTCTACTGCTAAGAGCCACACATTCCAGCTTGTTGTGGGTTAAGCGGTGTCAGAGTGTCCCAAAGCGGTCGCAGTAGAGGTTAAAGTGAGCGACATTCATCAATGCCGGCGGTGATGATTCATGCGCCTGGATAAATTAGGGCAGAGGAAATGTGCCTGCTGCTGCTGCTGACAGCGGCAACAGATGCTGGGATGTCAGGGGAGACGCACGGCGCGTAGCGGCCGTCACAGCAGCAGCTTCATTATCACCTGCACATCCGCAGCAAGAGCAAACACACACTGCAACCTACCAGCGGTTTCAGGAATCACCTCAGCACAGAAGCTTAAAGTTATAACGTAGCAACGTTGGAGTTGTGAAAACGTATCTCTGTTTGCTGAAGTTATCTGAGACTTCCCTTGTTCTGGTTAGCAGCCCTTGAATGGAGTCACACAGTCAATGCAAACTATTGGGTTTGGTAATGTGGGTTATCCCAGAGCAGGAGAGCTGATCCTGCTTCTGGGACGGGGTCGGCCCAATAGGATGGATTGTCTGAATCACTTGAATGAACTTCGCCGTATAGATCCAGTGTTGCCTGCTGAGACCCGGACTACAATTAGAGCTGATTTGTTGCTTTTTATTATTAGGAGGCACTCAGGTGAGAGTTTTGACATCTTTTTTTACAAGGACATGTTGTTCTGGGCCAATATCCAGACTTTTTGTAATTATAACAAGTGCTCCAAAATCTGCCATATGATGAAATATGTTGTAGCTCGTGTGTGTGTGTGTGTTTGTGTGTTTTCTTTAAATACTCTTTTTCTGTCAATAATAATAATTACTCTAAAAGACTAACAAGTTGTTTTATGTTTGGGAAACTGACGGTCTGACGGCCTCGCTGTATGACCAGGACCGGGGCAGCCAGAACCTTTCAGTTTGGGGAAATGTTCCTGAAGTAAAGAAAGGTGGACTGTTCCCCCAAGGTCAGAAGATTCCTTTTGACTTTTCAAAGGGCTGTACTGCAGTGCTAAATCTTAATCGCCTCTCCTGCTCATCATCTGACACATTGAAATCAGCTTTTATTTAGAGAGTCGCATGGGAGAAATTGTGTCACTTTGTTTCCAAGGAGGCGTTCTCCTCCCCTTATGGACTCTAGGCCAGAATCAAACTATTTGCACACAGCTCTGTGCAGGGTGTTGTGTGATTGATCATAAATTTGTGTAATGTAGAAATGTGCCCAGACTGCAGTGTTCGTATTTCAGTTTGACTGATGCACTTCCACTCCACTTTTGAGGAACGTTTGTCAGAAGCGTTGAGAAATTACGAATGTTTGTACGATTCTTCACAAAATACCTACAGTAATCATTCAGGCTAAAAACTCCTGAATGGAAGACACAAAGTCGTTGTTTATGGAGGAGACTGTCTGCCCAAAGGTTTCATCAGTATGGGGACGCCCTCCATACACTGAAAGGGGAGAGATATCCCCAGTTGGTCTGAGAAATATGGTGAAGCATGTTTTCTTCCAATGACATCACATGGACATGTCTGATTTTAATTGCATTTCTTCTATAGTGGAAACACTGCAATTGTGAATTTTTTTCAAGACATTAGCAGAATATCGACAAAG